TGGCATAATTATGGCTTATGTGCCCGGTTGTTGGCACATAGCCGGTTTATTATTTTAATCGATTTTTAATAATTAACAAGAAAAATTATTAATTAATAACTATATAACATTTAGCACAGAAAAGGTGGGGGCATTACTAACGCCACAAGTCTCCTTGGGATAAAAGAGACACACCCCACCCCAACCTGGCAAACCGTTTGCAGATGATCATGAAAAATATTTACGTATATACTGATACCACATGTTACGAAAACCTCAATCTATGTCAGTTTGACCACAAGAGGCCCAGGCTCGATTTGCCCGCCTGTGCCTTCCTTATAACGAGGGAAGGAAGGAAACATTGAGACCAAAATAGCCCAGACTGGCATATGTCACACGAAACTATCCTCGATTTTTCGTCTTTAATGCATTTCTTTCACGATTAATCGATATCCCCCGCAAGAATGATACCGTATAACTCTCAAAACAACGTGCTTTAATCAAAGAGCTTAAATTCGCTCTGAAATCCGTGAGGGAATAACGAAATTCGCCCAAAATATATCCGCGTGCCGGTGTCCCAGGAAATTTGGCCCCCCCAAAATTTGGCCCCCCCGGGCCAAATTTCCTAGGAAATTTGGCCCCCCTGGGGGCCATATTTCCTAGGAAATATGGCCTCCCCTTCGGAAATTTGGCCCCCTCGAAAACATAGTTTACTTTGTCGCTATAAGCTCGGAAATCATGAAGTTTCTTCTTAAACAAAGATCCTAAAAATGTTTGTCAGTATTTATAGTTAGTTTGCATAATTTATTTCTGTCGAAATTCTTCATTGCGGCCAAGAGCTAAAAGTTTGAAGGAAAGCATAATATGTGTTAGTGCAGTCATGCCAGACGCATCACACATGGGTATCTGTAGAGGACAACGTTAATGCACGATGGCTTAACTGTAACTAAGAACACAAAACGATTTTAGAGATAAGAATTTCTAAGATATTACGAGTTATTTAGATCTATAAATTCAGTCACATAGTATAAAATTAGTCAGAATAACAACCGCACTTTAGCAAACGATGACATCATGCGTTGGCGAATATGTTAATATGCACGCGTCTAATAAATAACAGGGAGTAATTAGCGGTAAAAGTAGACTTTTAAGTGAAAACGTTTGTTCGAAAAACAGAATCAAATGAGTGGTTACTTCGTAAAAAAACATTTTCCTATGGGTTTTTTTCTTTCATATACACAGTATATATAATTGCTCGTATGGTTGGGATGCATTACAGAAGCATTCTGTATGCTTCATCGCTCACAAAAATATTCCGCACACACAAAAGCACAAAAGTTTAAATGACGTTCCGTTTCAATAGCTTAATGATACAGCCATTATGTAGGAGCTGTTCATATGTCCCACTTACCGAGAGGTCTTGCCTACCGAGACGAATATTTCCGTACGTTCATATGGAATATTTCGTCCCCCTTGCCGAGATGAAATTACTGTAGCCGCTCCATAATTAGCGTATGCTACATTTCAGTCAAGCAACACAAATACTTGAGATTTTAGTGTTTTTCTTCGTTTGTTTACAAGAAAAAGTATTGCTTTAGGTACATGTTAACGTTGTTATTATGTTGTTCACATGCCTTATTAACGTTGTCTTCTATGAAGCTGGTCAAAACCAAACGCGAAAAGTACGCTAAACTTTAGCTCTTGGCCTAGATTCTCGTCAGTATTGCAATTCAATAGAGAATTTTGACACAAAAAATTACGCAAACTGACTATAAATGTTGAGAAAAATTTCTAGAAATTTGTTTTAGTAGAGGCCTCACGATTTCCGAGCCTAAAGATCTGAAACAAACTATATTTTTTAAGGGGGGGGCCAAATTTCCGAAGAGGGGGCCATATTTCCTAGGAAATATGGCCCGGGGGGGCCAAATTTCCTAGGAAATTTGGCCCGGGGGGGCCAAATTTTCGGGGGGGCCAAATTTCCTGTGACACCGGGTTTGCTGGACAAAAAGCGGAAGTCGTTGAACAACTCAAAATACACTCAACCCTGATTGGACAACGAAAATCAACAAACATTTCAAATTTTTCTCCACTGGCACTGGGAAGGGGGACAGTACTTGGAACAGTACTGTAATAATTTGATTATTTGAATCAAAACAATTCACAAACGTTATTATACTGACTAAACTTCTTAAATTTAAATATTTAGATTT